TATGCAGGGACATTTCTCCACAGAAGCTGCAGGCCATGGAGAAAAAACCAGTTGATTTGAGTGCATTTTTACTGCGCCCGTTTGGATTACGAGGCCCTAGGAAGTCCAGGCAGGCAGGTGGGAGGTTGGGTGCTGCCCTGTTGCCTGCACCCACGGGCAGCTCTGGTCTGGCCTCTCCGCCTGGGACCGGTCTGCCCATCTCACCACCCAGCAGGGACCTCTTGCCACCAGGAAGGCAGCCACAGGGTTTCTCCTCGCTCCATCCCCACTGGGATGTGGGGTGCCACATTTTTGAGGTTTTAAAGAGGGAAAGTGTTACCAAAGTTACGAAGCTGCAGAGGCAGAGAAACCACGAAGCTGACAAGTGCACCCCGTGTCCTTGAGAAGAAGTGTCAGGAAGGCACCTGCGTGTGGCAGTGGACTTGAGCCTGGGTGGGTTGCAGGGGCAGGTAAGGAGGATGGGACTGTGTAACAGGTGACCTAGTTTGGTATTGGTCTGGAAGTCAAGCCTATGGTAGTTTTATCTTATCTTTTTATTGCTCAGGGTGGTGCAGCTGTAGCAAGCTGTTACTCTTTAACTTGCAGGAAGCAGAAAACTCATGGGGAGCACTTAATGCAATTTAGCAATGCTTTTGAACACAACTGACCTTAACGTTGCTGCTAACAGCCTTGCAGGGTTGGAGGTTTTAATTGCAGATTCTGTCTGAATCCTATAATTACTTTGTTGAAAAAAACTGGGGGGCGGGGGTGAACAAACTGTTAGGGCAAAGAGCCCGTCCGGGCTACTGAAAGGCCCTGCCTAGGGCAGTGTTAGTGGCGGCCGTTTCCCGGTTGACATGGAGCTGGTCTTTGTTTTGTTCTTTGCACAGGAGGAATCATATAATACATTGATAAAGCAAAGGATTTACTGTCCATGCTGGGTGGCTAGGCTGCTGAGGCCAGACCTTGTTGGAGCCAAACATGGCCAAAACTGTCCCCTTCAAAGCTGTAGGGGACCACATACACACAGGGCCCCCCCTCCCCCGCGCTGCAAACCAGGCAACCTGAATTTTCCATCGTCTCCCAGCACTTGAGGCTGCCCTCGGTGTAGCACCCCTAGCCGAGAAGGTGACACAGCTCTCCTGCCTTGCAGGCGTTCGCCGTGGCCAGGAGCAGGCGGAGGTTAACACGGAGTCAGGCACAAACATCTCGGGGAAGGGAGCAGCTGCGTTAGGGCTTGATGCGAGCCTAAGGCCAACAGAAACAAATGGAAAACCTCCGCTTGCCTGGGGTCGGCCGCCTCGGGGGCAAGAATGCGAGGACAGAGGCACGGTGCCTGACCTTTGTGGGGGGGATCTCGGTGCTGGGTTCAGAGCACACCTCGGGAGGGAGAAGTGGGTTTTAGTGGAGCTTTGCTCCCCTTGGGAAGGCACCGACTGCCACGTCCTCTTAAAATAGCAACCAGGAACATTAGGAGCCGAGAAAGCTGCTGTAACGCAGGCAGGCTTGGGCGGGAGAGCAAATGCTTCACAGATCAGAGGAGCATTCGATGTGTTTAACTCCAAAAGGAAAGCCAACTGCATCCTTGCCAGAGCGGAAACATTTTCACAGCTGGCATGAAAAAAGCACCTACTGCTGAGGAATTACCTATTGCTTCAGCTCTCTTCTCTCAGGATAAGACCGACATCACGTTCAGGTGGCATGAAAATTGCTGTGCAACCCCTCTTTTAAACCACCACATAAATACACTCCTGGTTGTGCTTCCCACTTGCACCTCCTGTTATTAACGGCAGCTGTGGGAATCCCTGGAGCCTCCCCCGGCAGTGGGAAACAGGGAGCTGAATTAAAATCCTGCCACAGAAAACATCCTTGCACTTTTGAGTCCTGTCCTGTGGTGAAAATCGTGCAAAGCGCTTGGGGAATCTCAAGGTGCCCCCAAAGCCCTCCTCCTCCTCCTCCTCCTCTCCACCCATTGACGCTGTTTCTGAAGGATTTCCACAGGGCACCGTGCATGTGGACCTTCAGCATTTATCTCAAAGAAACAGTTGTGGCTTTCACATAATGTACCCTGAAGCATGCTGGCGCTTTAATAGCTGAATGGCACCTTAGCTCTGCTTTTCCTTAGAAGGAAGTGATAAAATAGCTAATTTATACTGCCCCGTAATTACACAATGCAAAGTCACTCTGTTTTTTCCTGTTCTCTAGGATGGTGAAGCATTAAAATTGACTATTGTCGGGTACGTGACGCTGTTCCCCTACTTTTCCTGCTCATGCAGGAAAATGGAGATGGGCTTTACTAGAAGTGTTTACAGAGCAGGAACACTGAAACTGTGGGGCATATTGCCCGGCCTGAAACATGAGCAGGACATGAGCAGCATAGCTTCTGTGGTCTCCCAAATAAAATAAAATGCTGGTTTTTACTGATCATAACTGACCAAGAGTTCTTTACCAAATTACATCCAAGTGACATCATCCCTAGCAGCAGGCGGGGGGTGAGGTCAGCCCAGCCCGGACAGGGCTGCTGCCCAGGCTCCAGGGGTGATGGAAGCAGGGGGAGGTACCCATCTCGGGGGACCAGCACCACCTCCTGCTGCTGCCCAGGCTCCAGGGGTGATGGAAGCAGGTGGGAGCAGGGATGCCTGCAGCACTACGGCTGCGGCAGGACACGCGGGACTTGAATCACCACTCCCCTGCTCCTTCAAAGGTCATAAATCGGTATTGCAAAGGTGCAGAAAAGCATTGCCTCGCCGCCCGTAACAACCTGTGCCAGGGAGGTGAAATGGAGCAGAGCCAAAGCAGAGTTAAGAGTGACTGAAGGAAACAGAAGCTGGGAAGGAAGGGAAAAAAAAAAAAAAAAAAGAAAAAAAAAAGAAAAAAAGCAGCTTGTACATGGTTATTAAGTGCTTACAATGTTCTCATGCAGCTTAGATAAGCAAACTGGAATTAAGCATTACAGTAGGCATCAGCCCTGGTGCTGTACTCTGCCTACAAGCGCAGGAGGAGGCTGGGAGCACTTAGCCAGGTTGACTGGAAACAGGTGTATATGGGGAGGAGGAGGAAGAGAGGAGAAGGGCTGAAGGCTGCTTGCGATAGGAGCACAGAACTGCCTCCCTTAGTCTAAAGGTCAGGGCAATTAAAGCCAAAAGGCTGCCTTTTAGCAGGGCTCACCCCCGTGAGCAGATTTCTTCACACAAGGGAGAAGGAGGCTCTCGGGCTCCTTGGGCAGAAAAGGAGTGAGAAAAGCATGGAGGGAGCAGGCACAGCGCAGGTTCCTCACGCGCAGGAGGCCCAGTCCTTCCGGTGGCCCGCAACCAGCAGTGCCCAAAGGGGGTCCTAGAAGCAGCACTTGAAAGCCCCATGAAAGTAATCAGCTTTGGTTTTTGGCACGTTACCTTTAGTAGGGATCAAGTAGGCAATCAACCTGCACTCTCCCAACCCATCGTTAGGAACCAGCCACTGTGCTGCTGATACTCCCTCTCACCTCTGGACAGACAAGGGACTTCCCTGTGACTTCCAAGAATCAAGTTTTATTCTCCAGCTAGACAGCAGTGACCGATAAAGTTCTCATTATTACAGATCTACAAAAGGAGATCCATAAAATACTTCTATTTTCTCTTACAAAATTATGATGGGAGCCTGTGGATTTGTGGAGTTGTACCCGTCCCAGTGACACGAGGACAGAGGGACAAAGAGGTTTCAGAGACAAGGCAGAGGCATTCTCAGCTTTAAACAAACCCACCCAGGGCAGGTATGTACCCACGTCTTGCAGGGAGCAGCTGCCCTCTGCTCTGGGCTATCAGATGCTAGGCAAAGAGAAAAACATTCCTCCTCTTAACTCAGCAGCAGCTCCGCACGTCAGCTCTTTGCTGATAAACACAGGCTCCTAATTCCAGCTGCATTCCCCATTTTGAGAATAAACAGCCACGCTCCTCAGCGCCCTTTACAACTACTGCTGCTCGAGAGAAGGGGGAGTGGGAGGGGAGGGTTACAATACGGTCCATTTCCTAAAAACCCTAAAGCAGAAGAAAACCCCAGGTTGTACACGGCAGGCAGTTCACATGCCCCTCGGCTCTCCCAGGCAAGGAATGCACAATGTGGATGTGTCCAGAGGCACAGCCACCCTTTTACTTCAGGCTCCAATGAGTTTCTTGAGGAATGCCTCCAGCTGATCCTCATCCTTTATTCCCACAAACTTATCCACGACGTCTCCGTTCTTCATAGCCAGCACGGTTGGGACTGCTGACACCTGGGGGCAAGAGAAACAGGGGAGACACAGGTGAGCTGAGGCTGCAGGGAGCCCAACTGCACCCGGCCCCCAAATGGAGCTCTACAGAAGAGGACGTAGCTACAGGGGAGCTGAGCATACGCTGCTCAAGGGTGACATGTCCACTCGCAAAACACAGGCCAGCTGAGCTCAGTGTTCCTCCTCTTCCCGTGGCCTCATCTCTGCACTGATGTCGCACTACTTAAGTCAAGGCTGAGCAGCTTTTAGAGTTTAAATAAGACCCAAAAGTTTAAAGGCAAACCCAAAGCTAATATAAAAACAAGGCAAATCTTCCCCCCATCCCCCCAGTACAAACTCCTCTTCTCCTTCCCTTTTGTGTCTTCATAAGCAAACAAACCCAGACACCTCTCAGGCAGGACAACCTTTGGACATTTTATCACAGGGTGGTATCAGACTGGACCCGTGTTCTTCTCCAGACAGGACTGGAGCTGGAGGAAGGTCCCCCACCCATCACCACACAGGCAGATTTCCTGCTCCATCCTACCATGGTAATGACAACCCCCTCTGACCCATCTCTCCTTTTCTTGTTCCTGTTCTCAGTGGTTCAGCTGGTCACACACCAGTGGCAGTCCACTGCAGATCCCCGATGATTAGGTAAGAAGTGAAAAAGTCCCTCTGACTGGAGCCAGCAGGCAGCTGCGCTGCTCCGGGTGCTGCTTTTTTAGCACAGAACAAAGTTTTCTGGAAATTATCCAAGGGAACAGTGGTGGAAATGACAACGCTCTCCAGGGACTTTCCAGCTGACCAGCGACAGAAGAGACCCTGGGGTCACAATCGAGAGAAAGAGCAACCAGGGCTCGGAGAGCTGTAGCGGCAGAGAGATCTGGTCATGCATCTGACCCCTCAGCTTCGGTGCCCTTATGTCTGCAAAGCCTCCCCCCCAAAACACATCCTGTCCTTATCTCACCGCCTGCTGCCTCCCCGACAGCCTGCGAGGCCTTCCCACGTGCACTGCCAGCCCCTCTGCCAGCGAGGATCTGCAAATCCTTCCTTGGAAAACCCTCCAGAGGGCTGGCTCTTCTCCCATTGGGAGCCTGAGATGAAAGGGACATTTTGTGCTTCGCTTCCCTTCCCACCCGGCCAGTCCAGCATGGCTCCCCGCAGTCTGTCCTCCAGGGCTTGTGCAGTCTCATCTGAAGGGATGGGAGCGCTGGGGCTGCTGCAACGCACGATCTTCAGCTCCTCCTAGTGACTGGCAGGAGCAGAGCTGGAGGGCTCGGGCCCCAGCACCGGCGATGGTGCTACCAACATGCTCCCTTGTGATTTTAGGGGTGAGAAAGGACAGTGCCAGCACTGCACTCAGCTGGTCTCTCCCTCCCTGAAGAAAGGCAAAGCTCCACTGAGCCTCCCTCTGGTTTGCAAAGTGGGTTAATAACGAGCAGAGTTGCCCCAGCTCCATCCAAAAAACCCAGCATACCCAACCAGCAACAGCAATTATCAGGCCATTACGGCCCGGGTGAGGAACCGGCGATTCTTTGAAGCCCTACAGAGAAGCAGCTAACACCGAGTTACAGGGCTCTGCATGCCGACCAGTGCACCCACGAGCTTCACAGAGCCTCGATGCCTCCTTCTCTTCCCCTTTTTGTGCTGGTAAGCAAACCCCACAAATGGGTGGCAGGTCTGGGGCTGGCGCTGCAGAGCTGGGCGA